GGACGTCTCCCTTGCTGCGCAAGGGGAAGACCGTGGTGTAACGCGTGAAGTCGTCGACAACCAGCAGAAAGTACCGCTCACGGCCCTGTCCCTGGACGCGGGCTGGGCCCCACACGTCCAGGTGAAGCGTCTGCAGGGGAGCCTCTGTGGGAGGAAACGAGGAGGAGTGAGGAGCGGCGCGCTGCCGCCCCTCGACGCAGGGAATGCAGGGCGGCGCAGGCGAGGGAGGGAGGGCAGGCAGAGACCTGGGAAGCCCAGAGACCAGAGAGCGAGAGTGCATGCTACGAAGGCGAGGCAGGGAGGGGTGACCAAGGCGGTGGTGCCACAGGAGCGTGTCGTGCGACAGGCGGCGGCACTCACACTGGGTAGCTACCTGAGCAGACGCGTACAGCTGCGGAGACAAAGGAGCGGAGCGTGAAACAGTGGTGAGGGTGTACAGACTGGACCCCGGCTCACGAGTGAACGTGGCCAGGTGGCGGCCAGTCTTGGAGCACGTGCAGATCGCCACACGCTGCCCTCCAGGAGTCCAGGTGTCAACCCAGTGATCCTGGAGGACGGCGTTGCTCACCAGGTTCGTAGAGAACGAGGGAACGAGGAGACCTGACAGCTCACCAGACGGGACCGCCGGGCACGGGAGCACAGTCGTGCCGCGTGCAAGCACTGGGCCCCCAGAGGGGTCAGCCAGGGAGACAGGGACAGGTGCAGGGAGGGGAGTGACGGTGGTGCTATCGCGAAAGAAACAGCGGGAAGCACCAGAGTCAAGTGTAAACGTGTGCAAGGCCTGAGCCGACTCAGTACCAAGGGGAGCAGACTCACTAGCACCTAGGGCTGCAGCCCTTATACCGGGGTCAGGCGGCACACACAAGTAGCAGTCACCCTCAGCACTAACAGTCAATGCATACATGGCAGCAAGAATAACATCATAGTCCAGATCAAAGATAGGCACATCACGCCTAAGCAGCTCTGCCCAGTTGGGGAACTCAGTAGCATCAGGATACTTAGTACGCCAGGCGTCACTAAGCCTAGCAAAACAACGATACTCAGTGTGAAAACCGTTGCAGGGGCGACCCTTGCGGGGGCCAGTACGAATGACATAGGGGCAGCGGTCAGAACCCCGAGACGCCCCACGCCCAGCATACCAGTCATTGAGCTGCTGGGAGGTGAGGGGAGGAAGCTGCTGCTGCTGCTGTGGCTGCTGCTGCTGCTGCTGCTGCTGGCCACCCTTCTGGCCAGATCCACCCCCACTCCCACCTCCACCGCCACTGCCGCTGCCTCCTCCCCCACCACCGCCGCCGCCGCCTCCACCGCCCCCGGTCCTGCCGCCACCCCACCCACCGCCTCCACCCCCACGGCCACCCCCACCACCTCCACCACCCCCGCCGCCTCCACCACCGCTCCCTCCACCGCCACCTCCGCCACCCCTGCCACCCTTGCCGCCCCTGCCACCACCACGCTTCCCACCAGGAGCGGAAGCCGCTGCGACCTTCTCCGCACCGAGGAAGTCGACAGCAGTAGCAGCAGAGGCGTAGGAGGGGTCAAGAGGGGAGGGGGAGCACCCCTCAAAGAGGGGAGTGCGGGGAGTGCCACGAGCAGCACCGACAGCGAGGATGTTCTTCTCTGCTGCGACCAGCTGCTGCTCGAAGTCGTCCAGAGTGATAGTTGGAGGATCCTTGGCAAGGAAGTAATCCCTGACAGAGCGAAGAGTGTCAGGGAGGCGGGTGACGAGGATGTAGAGGGTGAAGTACAGCGGGGGGGTGTTCGTGGCGAGGAACTCGTTGGTAAGAGCGGCTCGAAAGCGGGCGTCACTAGCGCGGAGGTGAGTGATAAGGTCGGCAGCAGTGTGAAACGAGGCTAAGTCTGGGAACAGGTAAGGCAGGATGAGACTACCAACGGTGGCTGTGGCCGGGGCGGAATAGCGGGCAACGACAGCATCATACAGCGTCTTAGCAGTCTTAAGCTGGTTGAAATGCGCGCGCTCAGAGATCGGTAGGTGATTGCGAATAACAAGGCGCGCGACTGCATCGCGGAGCTCCCACTGTGCTCGTTCAGGGGCAGGAGCAGTCTCAGCAGGAGTAGGGACAGTGCCGGTCACATAGGCTAGCAGTGACACTCCGTCTGCGACGTCAGTCATAAGGTAAAGGCGCAGGTCACTAAGCCAGGTGTCAAACTCGATGGGGCGGCCGTCAGGCTCAAAGGCGAGAACAGTAAGGGTCGCCATGGTTGCAGCGCAGGCAAAAGTAGCAGGCTCAGGCAGCAGGCTCAGGCAGCAGGCTCAGGCAGCAGGCTCAGGCAGCAGGCTCAGGCAGCAGGCTCAGGCAGCAGGCTCAGGCAGCAGGCTCAGGCAGCAGGCTCAGGCAGCAGGCTCAGGCAGCAGGCTCAGGCAGCAGGCTCAGGCAGCAGGCAAAGACTGCAGGTTCAGGCAGCAGGCTCAGGCAGCAGGCAAAGGCTGCAGGCTCAGGCAACAGGCAACTGTAGCAGGTAAGGAAGCACGCAGTTCTGTGACAGGCCGCGTGTAGGCTGGCGGGGCGCGACGTGAGCTGCGCGGGCGGTGCGCGGGCCGCGTGCGGACTGCGCGGGGGCTGCGCGGGCTGCGCGCGGGCTGCGCAGGCTCAGTGCGGGCCGCGCGGGCTCGGCGCGGGCTGCGCGCGGGCTGCGCGGGCTCAGTGCGGGCCGTGCGGGCTCGGCGCGGGCTGCACGGACGGTGCGCAGGGCAGCTGCGGGCCGCGCGGGCTCAGGGCGGGCTGCACCAGCGACCTACGGGGCACGACGCGGCTGGCAGCAGCTGTGCGCGCGAAAAAAAAAAAAGGCGTGCGCGCGCAGCCGAGGCGCGCGCGGGCAGCAGGCTAGGCAGATACGTATGCAAGGCAGGCAGGTAGGCCGTTGGGGAGGTAACTTAGCACATGGTGGGCCCTTAAGCTTAGGTCTAGGAACCTGCTCTAGATGCCATGTCGAGAGAATCAGGCAAGGTTGAGTTCACTATCGAGAGTTTGGTACAAATAACACAACCCTAAAGTGTTATCCCCTATAACATCTACCCCACTACAGCCTACCAATATATATCACACATATATATCATTTGACAAGGACTTAAAGCACATGCGTGCGGCATTGGACAGGGCACCGGACTGTGACGGCAAGGGGAATGCTATTACTGATGTACATGTACGTTCGGCGTCCCACACTGTGTTTCCACACCTCTGTTCCAAGGCAACAAACTGACTCTTATGGTTGTTGGTTCCTATGCAGGTCCACTGGGAACTCGCCATGCCTGCCGCGGTTGATGCGCAATATAGCCGTCTGCCACACCGCATCCGCGTCGGCAATGGTTTTCTAATGTGGCGATAAAAGGTGAGGGCTCCGACGGGGACGAGGAGTGGTTTGGGAAGACCCTTTTGTTGTTTCATGCAAACGTCGAGGGTACAACAAAAAACTTTGCATTTATCAAGTACTACAAGGAGCAGGCACGTGTTGATGCAGCTACCAAGTGCAAAGTTTTGCACTTGAAGTCAGCTCAGCAGAGGTATGGGGTGATTAGTATTAATAGCATTAAGCGTGCAGTGCAGTTGGTGCGCCCCCAGAAGGACGCAGATAAGCGGTTGGTTAACAGGTTTGCATGGTGACTCCCATTTTACACGCTTCATCTGATACTTAATCTTAATGAGATCGTGTGCAGGCTTCCACTGATAGAGTTTTTAGTCCAAATAAAAGCTAGATGCTTGTTATCCTATTCTACCTAAGGTTAGGTTATCCAGTTTACTATCATTACTCGACAGTCCCTACAGTTGTTATCGAAACAGATTAGTTGCAAAGGCAGTAGCCTAACGGATCACCCAACTCGGGTGGGGGCACTGACACTGCGCTGCGTACTGTGTGACGCACCTGAACGTGCCTACGCTGCTGCCGCAGGTGCGTTGGATCGTCCCAGTGCAATCGTGGCTTTGCGGAAGTCACCGATTGGCTGTTGTGGTGATACTGCGCAAAACCAGATGCGCTGTATCACCTGATGCGCTGTATCACATGATGCGTTGGCATCACGTAGTGCCACAACGCGGGGCATTGGGTTGTCTCGAAATGTTCTCGATCGTTCCTTGCCTCAAGCCGCGTCGCACACGTGTGGTCTTATCGCACCTCGGGATCTGCCGTGCTTGGTAAGGAATCCAGCACCCACACTGTCACCCCAGGTGTGATTGTAGGGCAGGTCGAAAAAATGAAGAAGCATCCATGCGCGATCAACTTGACCGCGGCATCGCGCGTCAGCAGCCATTCGGTCAAATATCAAAATGGTTATGTTAAACGCTTTCGTTTCTGGTTTTACTTCGTACTATCCGTTTCGATCAAATCTGGGTCAGATTAAATTATCACGGTGACTGTGTCGTACTTGTGGCACTTGATTTACAGTGCGGAATACGTTTTTGTAAACAGTCGTGCATGTTTCCGTGGTGCGTTGCGATCCTAAAGAATCATCGCATTGAACATGAAAGCCATAAGTGTCGTTCATGCGAGCGATTTATAGATGTTCTCAACCATATTACTTTGGGTAATGCGAATTGATGGAACGGCCAATCCGTAATCTTTCACTTTTGCCAAAATGGTGGAACCATTGTCGGTCTAAAATGGTTGAATGAACTGGGTGTCGAAGGAAATATACTCCACCTTCTACTCTAAAGTCATAGTCAACCATCACTTTCCTCAGCACCATGGCAGAAGGCCCTGGAAACATCAGTTGGGCAGGCAGCAGCAAAAGAATTACAGCCGAGCCAACAGGGGTCACCTTACCCCACCCTCTTTCCCATCTAAACCTTCTCGAACCCACAGCTCTCTCTCAGCTGGATGACGATGTTCTCACTCAAGAAATCAAGAGGCGTAAGCTTCTAGCTAAAGAAGCTGCTAGTAGTAGGAAAGCTGCAGTCAACACCCTACACGGTGTTCCGACGGAAGCACCACGTCGGGGCAGCCGCCAGAGCAAACGTGGTGGCGCAGGGCGCGGCCGTGCAAGCGTGATGAATGGGAACATCCCTGCTGGCGCAACCTCGTCCACACCTGGTTCCCCCGGCGCACGTTCCTCCGCACCTGGTTCCGCCGGCGCACCCCCCGCTGCACCTGGTTCCGCCGGCGCACCCCCCGCTGCACCTGGTTCCGCCGGCGCACCCCCGCTGCCCCGGGTTCCGCCGGCGCACCCGTCGTTGCGCCTGGTTCTACCGGCGCACCCTCCGCTGCGCCTGGTTCCGCCGTCGCACCCTCGGCTGCGCCTGGTTTCGCCGTCGCACCTTCGGCTGCACCTGGTTCCGCCGTCGCACCTTCGGCTGCACATGTTTCCGCCTTCGCACCCTCGGCTGCACCTGGTTCCGGCGTCGCACCTTCGACTGCACCTGGTTCCGCCGTCGCACCCTCGGCTGCACCTGGTTCCGCCGTCGCACCTTCGGCTGCACCTGGCCCCGCCGTCGCACTCCTTTGCACCTGATTGTGTCGGCGCAACCTCCTCTGCCCATGGTTCCGCCGGCGCAATCTCCGCAATCTCCTCCCCACGGGCGAACGCGCCTAACGTCACGCCTGCTTTTGGCATTGGAGGCGTGGGCTGCAGTGCACCGTCAGAAGCAGCTACTCGAGCTCTTCCTGCACCTTCCTCTGCTGCACGTGTGTACGTCCCGGGTCGCATGATGGCAGCAGTCATTGAGGCTGCCGAGGAGGGAGGCGTGGATCCGTTCCTCGCGTACGGCATTGAAGCTGGAAGCGACGATGACGAGCTGGACGACGACGAGGCGGAGGACGCTGTCGGTGCCCAAGCGGGAGATGATGCCGAGTTGCGCGCAGCGAAGCTTCGCGCAACGGAGTTGTGCGCGGCGGAGGTTCGGGCAGCGGAGCTGCGCGCTGCGGAGGTTCGCGCATCGGAGGCGCGCGCGGCAGAGGCGCGTGCAGCGGAGGCGCGGGCAGCGGAGGCGCGGGCAGTGGAGGCGCGGGCAGCGCAGTTGCGTGCAGCGGAGGTGTGCGGAACGGATAGGGCGCCACCTACCTCGCATCAGATTGAAACGGCAGGACCTACAAGGCGTGAACGCTCGCAAGGTAACTTCGCACTGTAAATTGTGGTCATTTCGTGAATGCCTTGTGCATCTCTTCCTCGCTCTCTCCCCCCCGCCCGCACTCGCCCCCTCCCTCCCTCCCCTTCGTGTTATTTTCCAACTTCGATTACTTTTATGCATGTCCATTTTGTTCTCAGCTTCTATACCGTTGGCTTCGTGGCTCTCCCTTCTTATTGTAACTCCTTGTTTCCACTACCTTTCTTGGTGCCTGTTATCCCCCGTGCGTGTCCAATAGTTGCTGGTGCGCACCATTTCAGGGAAGCACGACAGCTGGAGGCGCAACTTCGTGACCTTACGAACACGGTGGCTGTGCTTCAAGCACAGCTGCAAGAGGCAAAGAACAAGATCAACGCGGTGGAGGCTGAGCGTGACCGTCTGAAAGCGCAGCTCGAGTCGATGCAGCGACAGATTTCAGCGGAAGTCGCTGGAACGAGCGTGGAAGTTGACGCGGTTCGGGACCCTGCCGACCCACAAGTTCGCATGGAGAACGTCCGTAAGGACGTCGCAGGCAACCTGATCATTCCTTCATCGCTCAGCAGCGACGATGCATTCGATGTAAGTAAAATTGATAGATATTTGAATTCGGTGGGAATGTATTTCATGCTGTGCTTGTTGAAGCTTGTCTCAATGAATGTTTTTTGAAACCTGCCACCCTACCCTTCCTCCCTGCACCCGCTTTCTTCCACTCCCCTTCTTCCCCCCGTCCATCGTCTCGAAGTACATTCCTCTGTCTTCTGTGTAGCATGTTAGCAGCCTTAATGTAACCCCACTCCGTCTGTTTCTTTGTGTTGCTTGTCAGGCTATGGTGGGTAAAGCCTTCGCATGGCTCATCATGCTTGCCCCTGCAGGAGAGATGGAGTTCTATCCACTGTGAGAAGAATTCCAACCGCATTTGGTGCGCAAGTACATTGCTGAGGGGACCACGCAAGATGAGTACTACCTCTTCATGGGCGGGAACAGCAAGCGCATTGAACGGGCGCTGAAGGTGATTGTCAGAATGTTGTATTTGTCTAGCCTGCAGTGGGGTACTCTATAGCGAGTACAGCCCAATCTAGGGTTTGCTATTTGTATCTCAACTGCTGCTAGTCCAAACCCTCTTTCTGTTTCTAAACTTTCTCCTACTACTTCTGACATGCTATCAGAGCAGGTCGACCCCCTTGGGTCGATCCTGTGGGTGGGCCCACCACCTAATGCTTCCGCTGCTGTTCTACTTGTCGCGCGCCTCGGTCGCGCGACGCCTCCTTCCCGCCGTACGCTCGGGGCGTGCGGCGGTTTTCTGCCTACCGTGCTCCCGAGGCGCGCGGCGGTTTCCCACCGTCGAAGTGCCCCCCGTCGCCCGTCGAAGCGCCCCCCCCCCCCCCCCGTCGCCCGTCGAAGCGCCCCCGTCGCCCGTCGGAGCGCCCCCCGTCGCCCGTCGAAACGTCCCCGTCGCCCGTCGAAGCGCCCCTAGGGCCCGCGCGCGGCCCGTACAGCTCGCTCGCGGCCCGTACGGGCTGCGCCAGGCCCGCGCGCGGCCCGTACGGGCTGCGCCAGGCCCGCGCGCGGCCCGGGCAGCCCGCGCGCGCCTCGTCCCGCCTGCGGCAGACCCGTGCGCGCGCCTCGTCCGTCCCCCAAGCTTGGGGCGCCCCACCCCCGCTACTGCCCGCGTTCCTGTGTTAGGGTTTGGGGGTGGCGGGTGTGGGGGTGCCGGTTGTGTGCCCCGTCCCCTCCTTCTCCTCCTCCTCCGTCTCCCGCTGCTGCAGCTGCCGCTCAGGGGGGTGGGTGTGTGGGGAGCCGACGGAGTGGTACTAGGGGGGTGAAAGGGGAGTGGAGCTAGGGGCGAAGCAGGGGGTGTGTGTCGAGGGGTGTGGGACTGTTGGGGGAGGTTGAGCGGAGGCCGCCGTCGTGTCGTCTGCAGCGCCTGTATTCCGGGGTTCTGATAGCCACCGGTAGCTCAGAGAGCCGGTTGCACCTGTCGCCCGTGGGTCCGTTGCTCCTGTCGCTGCTGATCAGACGCAGAGCCTGTTACTCCTGTATTCCGGGGCCCTTGCTCCCGGTAGCCACTAGAGCTGCACCAGAGCCGTCTGTTGCCCGTGTGTCTGCAGCTTCAGTCGTCGCCTCCACTCTTCTCTCCTCTCGCCAGCCCTCCTCCTCCTCACTTGCCCTCTGTGACTGCCTCTAGTTTTGCTCATAAAATGTGAACTACTATTATGACTGCTTGTTGTGCTGATTACACCCCACTTTGGCTATGGGGGTGTGTCAGAATGTTGTATTTGTCTAGCCTGCAGTGGGGTACTCTATAGCGAGTACAGCCCAATCTAGGGTTTGCTATTTGTATCTCAACTACTTCTAGTCCAAACCCTCTTTCTGTTTCTAAACTTTCTCCTACTACTTCTGACAGTGATTGGCTGCAAATGTGCGAACATGAACAAGCCGATCAAGCTCTGGGCGTGGGGTGCTGGTGGCGTCATTGACGAGGAAAAATGGTACCTCTTGAAGGTTGGTGGCATCACTCCAACAAAGGCGCGTGATGAGAAGGACTGGGTCGAGCAGTTTAAACATCGTGAGTATTCTGTTTCCGTATGCTCTTGGACCTTGCTGGCATGTTATTTATCCCATGTCTGATTGCCATTGTTTTATCTCTGCAGCGAAGTATGGCTACGACTGGCACTGCTCTGCTCAGGGCCGACCTTTTGCGAATGCAGGCTTCGAGCTGGCTGTCAAGAAGGCTTTCGTCAGTGCCCGGTGCAACATGTTCGCAGTTAAGATTCCTTCAGTCGGCTACCTGTGCAACGTGGTAAGAATTCGCTTGAGATTTTATCCATATTGTTAATCCCTGGTGGCATTGTTTTTAACGCTTAACAAGTTCATTGGTGGCAGGTTGAATGGCCACTGGAGAATCACAAGGGCAAGAAGGGCCACGCATCACTTGACAACAACGAGACCAACAACCGCAACAACGTGCCTGCCAAGACGAGGGTGGTTGCGGCATGGCTGAAGGAAACTCTTGAAAGGGAGCCTGCCACGTTCAAGATCGATGAGCCCATGGGGTTCGAGATGGGTGTTGGGAAGGTTAGAATTTTGATCGAGGGCTATGAGCTGTTTTTCTTCCCATCTGGGGTCGTTCCAACCCCCTGGCCCCCTGTTAACAATCTGTGATTTGTGAATTTGTCATATTGACATTATGCAGCATTTACAAAATTCATTACAACTTTCCAAATCTGCCGAAATATAATCAGCTAGAAATTAATGGCACCTATAATTGTTTCTCTAGTAGCAATGATTTAAAAAATATTGATATTTGCTGCATACAATCACATCATTTCATGCATCCCAACCGTGACTATATCGATGCGCGCTTTTTACGTATAAATAAAAATACTCGATACAGGGCGGAACAATTTATTTACCTAGTAACAAAATGACATTTGTTACTCACGTAACCATATCGTACACTGTTCCCAACTGTTCGTCGTAATGGTGTGTACCACCATTCCCTGCCACAACCGACGCTGTTTCTACAGTCTACGTGGCCAAACGAACATCACACATTGAGCTGATGTGGTTGATGACACTGTCGTAAAACTACCGCAACCTGCAGAATCCGAGCGTGGTTGCTGCGTAAACCACCACCCCACTGTACCCACCATCATACCGAAAAGTGGTTGTCTACCATCGTTGATGGAACCACCAGTTTTGGGCAGATAACTGCCTCGTTAACTAGGCACCCCGTACACGACAGTCAACTCCCATGCTGGGCGGACATTTTTCCCCGACTGTCAACCGCCCCAAACTGGGCGGACATTTTTCCGATGCGTCTTTCACCATGTTGTGAAACAAGTTCTAACCTGATGAGCTATGCGCGCTAATCTTCGAACATCGGTTCATAAAACGCGACGCGGCACGATTGCTAGTTGCTCTACAACTGCTGTCAGTCTCACTCTGACGGAAGCCAACTAATCTGTGAAAGTGGGACGTGAAAGCGCTGAGGGCCTGTCTAACACACGAATTGAGTCGTCAGTTTAGACAAGCGTAACAAAATTCGGTTGAGTGTCGGTTGGAAGGACAGTTTAGAACACTTTTCTCTGTGGATTTGTTTAATGTAACACCGTGTTAGCAAAACAAGGGTCGCAACCAGCCTGGATTGAACACAACTTTAGTTGGAACATAACACAGCAGGTGTCAAACGGTGATGACAGGACCTTTGCGACGATCATGCGTCTATCACAACTAACGACTCTGCTAATAGCGAGATTTGAGCCACGAGTCAGGAAACATCACGCATTTTCTGTTTATTCGACGTCATTCACGTAACGGCATCGCTGATCACAAGAGCGTCTAATAGACCGAAACGATGTGACAGCCTCAGTCGTGAAATCCGAGTCCAGGGGAACGTCGCGGTCCGATCTATCCAGTCCATGTTATACGGCGATCAGCGACGCGATGCGATGTCATGTCAAGGGTGAGATTAATGAGCGGTCAGGCGATGACACGTCAATCGCGCTAGGAATATGGCTCTGAAATCCGTCATCGTGTTTTCCAACGATGGCTCGCACGCACCTGCCCTCCCCTAGTCCTTCGCGCGCATCGCGTTGTAGTGTCTGCGATGCGCAGGTTGAGAGATGTCGACCGAGGCACCGCCACGTCACGACGCCTTCGAGTCACCGTGTGCGGTCATCCAATCTCAACTTACCTCGAGGCAAGTATCCGATTGGACCTCGCGTATCGAGAGAAAGAAGTTTCCTCGCGTTCATGCTGCGGCAGTGTGCACAACCGTCCAGCCCTCCCTCTTCTCGTGCCTCTTCTCGTGCTCTTACCAAGCACTCGAATTCGTTTCATCTGGCTGCGGCTGTGTCCATTCGTCTCAACTCCCTCAGTCCCCCCGCGCATCTCGTGCTGGCTGCCTTTCTCGCTCGTCTTTTTGGAAGGCCAAGCAGATAATGAAGTGAATCTTGGCAGCACAGTGCCAGGGTGTGTTGCGGCCCCACCTACTTGCATCGGTTACAAACTGTTGGGTTTTGGAATACTTCAAAATCGAGGAGGCTCTCTTGTTGCCTTCTTCTTCTCAGCCTACTTTTTCTTTCGCGAAGCCACTTTCTCTTACCACCCTGTGACCTTCTGTCTGCTCTGCTCGTTCAGCACACTTCATCTGACTGATGCCACACGACCTTCGTCCAGCCACCTGTATGTGCATCTCCAACCTGGTCATTTGTCTCCCTTGTCCGCCTTCTCTGGTTTCTCTCGCGTTTCGTTTGTTGTCTCCTTTTCACTCTTTTAGCGAATCTCTGCCTATCTCTGCCTGCATGCCTCGCCAGTTAGGGAGAAGCGCTTCTACATCAGCACCCTATGCACTCTCCAGCTCACCGCCCTTCATTTGTTCCTGTCTGACTGCAATATCAGCAGCGTCCCTTTTCAACAGCCCCTGTTTCCACGTTTGTCATCAAGTCTCCCACTTCTCTGTTCCTTATCTGCTTTCTTTCTCCCATCACTGCCTCATCCCTCACGCCCGTGTAATTGGTCTTGTTCGTGTGCTGACCACGCAACCTCTCTCACTGTTCTTTTCAGGTCTCTCCTTTCTCACAACGTCCAACCCTGCCCTACCTGGGCTGCACGTGCCTGCTTTCGCCAGTCTGCAGTGAAAACGTCAGCTGAACGCAGAGGGTCCAGACATTGAAGGAAGGTTGTTTGGTGGGATTGAGTGGGCGATATGGCGGCTGAGAGAGCGATGGGGCCACTTATTGACGTGGTCAAAGAGGCGGTGCTGACAGCAGTGAGAGAGGAGCTCGCTGCACAGCTGACTGCTGTAGCGGAGAGGGAGAGAGAGTTTGTTATGGTGAAGCAGGAGTTGGAGGAGGTGAATGGGGAGTTAGCAGCAGTCAAGGGGGAGTTGGGAACGGTGAAAGGAGAGCTGGGAGTGTTGAAGAGGGAGATGGCAGCAGTGAGGGTGGAGTTGGCTGAGCGTGGTAGGGCATCTGGTGTGAAGGGGCTGAACGGGAAGAGGAAAAAGATAAGGCAAGCAGGGACAGAGGAGTGTGCACGGGAGGTGGAGAGGGGGAGGAAGGTGCTTTGGATGGATCGACCACGTTCCATGGAGAAACCGGCTTCCTGTGAGGAAGGGCAGACGTTGCAAGATCTGAAGCTGGATGTTGAGCTGCAAATCAGGCAGAGTGAAGGTGATCGGAAGAGGGCATGGGAGGTGAGTGCTGAGTGAAGTGTTACACAGTGCATGCTTGGTTGGACAGGGCATGAAGGGCATGCATGGTGTGACAAGACATGGATGGTTTGACAGGGTATGCATGTTTGACACGGCTTGCATGGTTGACTCTGGCAGGGCGTGCATGGATTTCTAATGCGGTTGTTCTTTGCCTTTCATTCCTTCCTTGTTCATGACCTCCAGCAAATCAAGGCAGCATCACAATCTTCCTTTCTACATCTGTCGGGCAACGGCCTCTCCAACGACATGCTCGCCCATGCGTCCACCATGACCCAGTTGACGTGCATTATCGTGAGCCATGACTCAGGCTTCAGTGCAGAGGGCTTCAAGCACCTCTACAGGCTGACAGGGTTAGAATCACTATACCTTGCCAGCAGAGACATCTCAAACAGTTCCTTGGAAGGCATTGGGTCATTGACCAGTCTCACATCCCTCGTTCTCCTGGTGGCCAACGTGACCGATGCGGGTTTGCCGCACTTAACAGCTTTGTCCTCTCTCAAAGAGCTCTCGCTTTCTGGATGCGAGGGTGTGACAAATGCTGGCATGGTGCATGTGGGGAGGCTGACAGGGCTTGAGAGTCTTCATCTGGCTGACACGGCAGTCACGGATGATGTTCTGCAACAGCTGACTGCCCTGACCAAGCTGACTTCTCTCTCGCCGCCAGAGGGTTATTCCCTTAAGAACGATGCTGTGCGCAGGCGGATAGCCAAGTAGGGTGGCAGGAGTGATGATGGTAAGGGAGGTGAGGCGAGGAGAGAGATTGTCCATGGGGGACTGAGGAGATACGTGGAGATAAGGTGTGTGAAGAATGGGGTGCGGAGTGGGCATGGTATGGTGCTTGTGTACGGCTCAATCTGCATGTTGCAGATTGCAGTGAGGCATGGTGCTGCATGAGCCATGCTGCCTGGCGGGGTGCAGCAGGCTGTTGTACAGATGCTCTTAACACAGAGGAGAGCGCAGGCCGTAGTAGCATGGATGATGGAATCAAGCTTCTGCCACATTTCTCTGCATGTTTGTACCATAGTGCTCGATATAATGCAGGTGCACGAGGGAGGCTTGGGCACAGCCTGGTTGGCGTTGGCTGCAGGCTGTATAAGGCGCAGAGGAGAGAGTATGGGTAGGAAACAGGACGTAGTACGGTAAGGGTAGTGGGCCGTGTAGGATTATCTGGTAATAACTGTAACAACTGTCATAACATGCCATAATGGTTTGAATTGACAATTATACCGGTATGCACAAGTGAACGTGTTTTTTTGGTAATGTTTGATACAATTGTACCGGTACCGGACAGTTCCTTTCCATTAACAACGGATTCAGAGACATAGAGGCACATTGTCTTCTATTTGAAAAACCGCATGAGATGGCTTCGTAGTGAATGTTATAAGGCCTGTCAGCAGAGATGAATACTGTAGATGATTACATGGGACCAGGGGCATAGATGATTGCATTTCCCCTTGCTTCTTTGTGTTGCAGCAGGCGGCAACACAGGCAGAGCAGAGCTAAACCTTTAAAATGGATAATCTGGAGTGGCATGCAGGAGATGAAGACTTGCGTTTTGCCCGAGATCACTGTACTGTGCGCTGCAGCGAGGCATGCAGGAGATGAAGACTTGCGTTTTGCCCGAGTTCACTGTACTGTGCGCTGCAGCGATGCAAAGGAGTAGTGTTGTCGGATACTGCCATAAGTCATGTCACTGCGTTGATTTGCTCGTGAGGAGAGAGAGGCGTCAGGTACAGGTGCTGCATGCAGGTACGATCTGAGAAGGCAGGGATGAGATGGGAGGGTGATGGTGGGGAGGGGAGAGACACGATGTCTTGGGCATGGGTGGGTTAGACATGAAGAAGCGACATGAGCCAATGGCATGTAGGGCAGAGCATGATCATAAGATCAAACGGCTGAGGTATAAAATGAGGAACAGGAAGATTTATGGGATGAGGTGCGGCATGATGTACGGACCGAGGCATGTAATGAGGTATGGACTGTTGAGGTATGGAGGCATGGGACGAGGCAAGGGATGAGGTAAGGGATGAGGGATGGAATGAGGGATCGGGTGGGGTATTGGATGGATACATGCACGGGATGAGGTATGCATCGAGGCAGAAGGGAGCTCATGAGAGATACAAGGACCGTTTGAAAGAGAGTTGGGCAATGTGGGGGGAAACTGGGTGACAGCAGGCAGCACTGGTGCGGGTGATGAGGGAGGGAGGGGGTGATGCTTGAGGATGCGATGGCTGCGGTGCTGCTTGGCTGTGATGGTGGGGAGGCAGCTGGGAGAGTGATGGCGGGCAGAGGAGAAGGACCTGATACGGGGAGGAACACTTGGTTTGTGCATGGCGTGATGGGATGAATGGGGTAGCGAGGGATGCTGGCTATGGGGATGAAGGAAGATGTCAGGAAGGGAGCGGAAGAAAGGGACGTATAGGAAGATGTCAGGAAGGGAGCGGAAGAAAGGGACGTATAGGAAGATGTCAGGAAGGGAGCGGAAGAAAGGGACGTGGGGGGAAGACGAAAGACGATGAGAGCAGAGGAATGTGGGTGGGAAAATCGAATGTGAGGGGCGAGCGGGAGCGGGAGCGGGAGCGGGAACGGGGGAGGGGGGTGGGCTTGCTCGTGTGACTCATGTCATGATCTCATGCCTTGGGAAGGTGCCAAGTCACCCTCTCTCCGAGCTGAAATAGCGTTCAGATGGAAGAAGGGTGGATATAACGATTCTGCGGAGAAGCAATCTGGTGGGTACAATGATGGTATCAGAGACACATGGCATGCGGCACATGACTACGTGCAACAACTCAGACACACACATTATGAAACGTTAGGCGGTAATACTGCTACAATCTGTCATGCAATCGCATGATTCGCAGGCATAGGCCACACCCGAACGGAGTGAGGTATTTGTTATGGGGGTAAGGGGGGTTGAAGGGAGGGGGGGATGGTGACGGCGTATCAGGCTGTCCTGGTGTGGGTGATGTGCTAGGGAGGGAGGGATGCTACCTGGAAATCTGATGGATACGGTGCTGTTGCTTGGCTTGGATGGGATGGTCTGAACAGATGGGGGGGTGATGGCAGGCAAACGAGGGAGACTAGAGATGAAAAGGGACAGTTGTTTTTCTGCCGGGTTGGTAAACAGATGGTATACGGGATGAAATGGACACTAGTGAAGACATGAGGGAGGGGAATGTGCAAGTTGACAAACCCCCACGCATCCTTGGCCAACCCAGGGCCTTTGTTTGCCCTGTCTGCCATACCCGGCCGGGTTTGACTCGACGCAAACGAGCCGACAAGAGACATGCGGGATAACCTGGGACAAATCTGCAGCAGCGCAGCCCGATGCGAGCAATTCATTCATGACAAAATCCACGTGACAACCTGCACATGGTCCTAGCCGCGTAGGTCCAATTTGAGGGCTAGATAGTGAATCTGGTGCTCAACTTAGAGCTCTAACCCTCACTGAATCTGCCCGCCCCCCTCGTATTAGCTTCTTCATGGTTGAAGCGTTCTTCTTCATTTTGAAGAGTTTGGACTGATTTAGAAATACCTGGCCCAACAAGCGGGCCAAGACGGAGGGGGAGGTGGGAGGGGAGGTTCACCACCACCACAGCGCCACTGCTGCCCATGTCTCTGCCGTGCTTCCCGGCTGTGTGTCACGAAAAGGGTTGGTACAGGGCAGTTGCTGCTGGTGTGAGAAGGGGGAGGGAGTGCGGGGGAGTCGGGGGGAGGTCAAAGGAGGCAGGAACGTACTGCTGAGCGAGGAGGAGGAACTGGAAGATAGCTGATTATGGCATTGCACACAGGGAAGTAATGCTGACATTCATCCCCCCATCAGTAACATAGTGCATACTGGGCACGGATGAGCGAAGGTGCAAAATGAGGGAGGGCGTGAGCAGCAGCAATGCGTGGATGAAGACAGACATTGTGAGATACAAATTCAGATTCCCCGCCTACTCAACTTCTCTCACCTCTGTGTTTGCACGTCGCCTTACCCGTCGGCACATACTCGCTTGTAACTCATTTGCATTTCCACGGAAAGCATAACATCCCCACATGGCCAGCATGCAACAAGCAATGTGCAGCTAGCACGGCTTCTACCACCTCACTCCTTTTCCCCACGCCTCCCTACTCACCACCGATGATCACCAACTTCTTGCATGATCGCACTCTCGTGGCTCACCAGCGATGATCGCACTCTCATGGCTCTGCCAAGCTGTGATGATGCCATATTCCAGTAGGAGGGTGGTTAGTTTCTCCTGCCGGCTCCCCCATGATGGCCAAACCACTACTGCTCCAACCATACATGCATTGGTTGGTTGACCCTGCCAGTACTGGTAAAGATTAAGACAAGTGGCATGGCTGCGGAAATTGACGTTGGCTTTAGAGAGCAGAAGCGGGTTTTGGGGGGGCGTTGAGGTGAGGAGGGGGGGGGGGGCGGTGAAAGGGGGAGTGGGGGGGGGAGTGAGAGAATAATAGGCTGTGGTTGAGGCATGAGGTTGTGTTTAACCATGAAAGCTGCTCTTCAAGAGATCACCATGAGTGCGCATCACTCTTCCCCTCATGCCTCCCTCCCTCCTCCTGAGCTTGGACCTCCTCATCTTTCATGTGGAGCCTAACAACCGCGTGTGTAGCCATGCAATGAGCAGAGGTGCAGCTAAACCAAGTCTGTTACAATCACACATCCACAGCTTCTGCTGCATCACTCTTCCCCTCATGCCTCCCCCCCTCCTCCTGACCACCTCCCTCCTCCCCCCGCTGACCCACTTCACCACCAATACTGCGGCTGCTGCAGTCGGCGGCTCCGCCATGCTGCTCAGCAGTGTACTTCAGCAGTCAGTGGACATGCTGCTGCCATGCTCACCGGTGGTAGAGATGAGATGCGACCCTCACGGTTAGTACGGGACAGGTGCTGCTGGTTGGGGAGGTAGGAGAGGGAGAAGAGGGTCGGAGAGGGTGTACTGCTGAACAAGGATGCCGATGGCACTGCATTGGGGAGTGCAGTGCTCATAGTCATCATTTACGAACGAATTTACACCAGAAGCAACATGTTGGGCACGTATGGACGAAGGTGTAAAGGGAGAGGTGTGGGCAGCAGCATTGGATGAAGAAAAGAGCTAGGGTAAGGAACTGATTCAAGTTCCGGGCTCGCCTTCTCTCACCTGCACGTTGGCATGCCCCCCTACCTGCCGTCACGACCCAGTGATGCGTTCGTTCACAGGGATGGGAGCATGGTTCCAGCATGCCAGTTGGTGGACGAGCAAGGAACTGAGAAAGGAGAAAGGCAATCGACAATATGAGTGGGAGATGAAGCAGCATCCATGATTTATGCCCTTTATTCATCAGGCCTACTTCCTTCTCCTTCACTTCTGCCCTCCGCCCCGGCCGCCAGGCATCATGGCCTGCTTCCCAGGCAGCACACAATACACTTGGGCAACGTGTAAAGAATTACCGTAAGCATCCCTGATTTGTTCAAGAGAACATAATCAACAAAGGCTAATGCATTACACACATTGCACCCACGACTATCGAGGAATGCCTGCCCTGACGTGTAACTGTTCTACCTTGCCCGAGGGGCCCTGCAAGATGTTCGTAGACGGTTAGGCACAGGTCGATGCTACAGCATGCCACCCATCCCAGCAAAGATATACCCTCCATCAAGGCGCTGCATCCTCATGCATACCCCCTGCAGAGTCCGATGTGGACACCGTCACACCGCTACTACTCCTACTCGCATACTCCTGCATGTACTCCCCCAATTCATCACACACGTTTCGTACACTCCTCTCCTCCAAGCAATCCCAGTCAACTCTGCTTCCACGTGTCTTCTTCTGCTCCATCACTGCCTGCCCCATACAGCCCTATCCACCTCCGCACATCTTCATTGTAAACCATATCTCCATCTGGCAGTCGAAGAGTTGTCAGCTTGGTCAGGGCTGTCAGCTGCTGCAACCCATCTTCCGTGACTGCTGTCCAACCCAGCCGAAGGTCCTCAAGCCCTGTCAGCCTCCCCACATGCACCATGCCAGCATTTGTCACACCCATGCAACCACCAAGCCACAGCTCTTTCAGAGAGGACAGAGCTGTCAGGTGAGACAGACCAGCATCGGTCACCGCATTCTTCAAGAAGTAAAGCTGCTTGAGACTGGTCAAGGACCCAATGCCTTCCAAGGCACTGTCAGAGACATCTGCTCCCTGGAGGTCTAGCGTCTCCAGCCGTGGCAGCCTGTAGAGGTGCTTGATGCCCTCCGCACTGAATCCTGAGCTAGAGTCCAGGTTAATGCTCTTCACATGCGTCATGGCGGACACATGGGCGAGCATGGCGTCTGAGACATCATCAAGGCCGTTCAGGTCCAGGTGGGTCTTTTGTGATGCTGACTGGATTGTCTGGTGAAAACGGGTGAAGAAGGTAAACACGGCAAGAAAAGGGACGATCACAGTGACAAGAAAGAACTAGCAAGCGATGCACGCCCTGCCGAACCATGCAGGCCTGAAACTATTCCCCTCAGCACTCACCTCCCATGCTGTCTTCTCATCGCCTTCACTCTGGCTGATTTTCAGCTCAATATCCAACTTCTTGAGAGCATCCTTCAGTTCAGTCACCTCCCCCTTCACTGCAGCCAGCTCTCTCTCCCTCTCTTTCACCTGACCCCTTGACTTCCTTGTCTCCACCACTCGTCTCCTCTCAGCCTCATCCAACCTTCTCCTTGTCTCTTCCAGCTGCACGCCAAGCGCCCTCATTCTCATCTCCATCACCTCACCCAAATCATGTGTTCCGGCCATCCTCGCCGCGACGGTCGTAACAGCCTTACTCAGACTCTGCATCACAAAACTGGCATGCTCCCTACGCATGGCAGACCATGGGTGCATGTTGCACAAGCACAGAAATTAGAAGATAGGGAGGTTGAATAACGGTAAGTTGCGAATTCAGAGATTTTGAGCAAGGAAGGAACTGAGGAGCAAGAGACCTCAGCTTCAAAATTCAAGAAAAATACAGAAAAGTTGCTGTTTTACTGTCAAATGAGGAGGAAACATGGGAAGTTGACAGAAGGAAACAGGACACCATCAGAATGAAACAGGCGAGAACAGGAAATGCCTGGCAAGTACAAAAGCACATGAAACGAAAACAATATTAGAGCTAGCAAGCATGAGATGCAGGGAGAGAACAACGAGTGGGCGTCGCGTGTGAGCATCAAGCATAGAGCCAATATTGAGACAAAACACTTCACACTAGTAAATCCACACTGACACACATGTAGTTTTCAGAAAGTGGGGACATATATGCAAGCGGGGTGAGGTTCAACAGTGGAGAGGTGGGGCATGCTTACATCAGGCTGCGCAGCAGAGAGAAAATTCCATGTGGCTGCACCATGGTGAGGGCGAGGTAAGGAAGGCAGGATCAGTGGTGAAGGGAGTGGAGGAGGGAGGAGGATGAGGTACGTGCAGCAGCATGGGAAACACGAGTGAGTGCACAAAGGATTGGGTGCTCAGAAGAAAGCTGAGCAGCAAAGCTGCAGTGGGGGAGGGCAGAGCGAGTGGCATACCACGAAGCTCATGCTTACACTCTTTAGCCTGATCAGCCAGGCCGTCACTGCCGAGCCCTACTGATGCACCCATGCTCTGACTTGCACGTGGGTTACGTCCATCCCCCACAGCACTACGATAAGTGTGGCGATGGCAGAATAAAGCACTAACACCGAAGTCTGTGGACGCGGAACAACGAGGGAGGAAAGAGTGAAACATGAGTATGAATGAATATAGAGTGACAGGATGCAGCACAACAAAACACCAAGTCATGACAAAAAGTCTGTTGCTTGCTACAAGATGGCAAGTTCAGAGGCCTCAATAATTCCGTATACACACCGGGTTGGGAAGAGAGTGAGGCGGCATGTAGAGAACACTGGCATGCTGACCAGATGCCGCAGTTGCATGAGCATTATTGGTCGGTCCGCACGTGGAGTTGTGACACGTGACAGTGGACTGAGAGGTTCACGGCACATGCATGCATACGAAGAGGGTCAAACACGAAAACATGAACGCACACACAGACATGCATGGCGGCACACATGCAGCACAAAATTAACTGCAGATTCTTTCAGAAATGATCTTCCCTTCATCCATGCAAAGAACAGCACGTAAAGAGGCAACAAGACATTGAAGGTCAATGTGACAGGCAAGATCGAGGGAAGGAGAGTGGAGCATGAGAGAAAGGTTGACTTGCTGACTATTGGTGTCAACAAGGAGAAAAGAGTCGACAGGAGCATGCTGAGACTCAAGGCAAAGAGCTTGCAAGAGTAAAAAGTGTGTAGCAAGAGGCTACGACTCAATTATTGCCCTTCCTTACCACGCCTGGTTTGACTCCAACAGGCTTGCGTCATCCAACGGGGCGAACTGGTCCAAGACGCCCTCCCTGAAGCGAGCCGAACAGTTCGCTTTGCCAATTTCCTGAAAAGCTGAAGCGCTCCCGGTTCGATACCGCTGGGGCTGCACAGGCCGGTGGACATTTAGGGCATTTCCATCATATTAGCTCTGCCACAGTATACCTCGAACTTTTTTTTACTGTCTTGAGAAGGATTGGACTATTCTTTATGTGTACCTGTGTCTGAGTGAGCTTAACCTGATTGATGAACATCATCCCTCCCATAGAGCGAGCACCTTGCCATGGCAGTGATGACTCACGTCCTCTGCTGTGGTGCCATGCCAGGCATCTCTGAAAAGTGACAAGATGCTGATAACTGCGATGGCAGAACCGAGAAGGAAAGCCATCAGCTGGCAGCAGCATGGCCACTGCAGTCATCCGAGCCATGGCTGATGGGGCGAGCCCAATGCAAGGCGTGCGCCTGCAGCAGCAGCGAGAGGAAAAACGGCCGGGGGGAGAAGTGGGGAGCAGGCGTGTGAGTGGCAGAGCAACTGGTCTGCGTCAGAAGAAGGAAGACAAGGTAGGTCCTGTATCTCCACACAGTAAGATGGGCTGCACTGTGAGTGAGCTGTGGCAGGGCAAGTGAGTGGAGGGGGATAGCGTCAGGACACAGGAAAGGTAGTTCTGTAGCAGCAACATCTTCAGGGAGGTGCAAAGGAGCAGCGGAGGGATGTGGGTAGCGGCAGAATGAAAGAAGGGATAAGCCGCAGGCGCATGGGAACGAGGGATGGAGCGACAGTAGCAGGAGAATATGACAGCAGGAGGGAGGGAGTAAGTGACAGGCTCTGTATTGAGTGCAAGGGAGGTCGAATGGAGATGAGACTGGTGGCGAGTAAGGTAGGATCACATGACAGAACGAGATGACAGACTGGGTGCGGCTTAGGAGATGAAACGCAAACTCAAAGGCAAAGAAAAGAAATCCAATGCCAGTCCATCACCGAGTTCCGAACGAGAGCAGAAGCAGGATACGAGGAGGATCGAAACACAGCTTGTTCTCACATACATGGACTGATAACGTCGAATCGAATAGATCACGAGGGAAAGAAGAGGAACACAAATGGGGTAAACGAAGGCGTGGTTGGTTGAAGGTGGATGAAGGTAGATGGCACACGAAGGGCGATACCAGAGGTCGAAGAGATATTGCACCACAGGCAGCAATCATAGAAGTGGCAGAGTGTGTGAATGAACAAACCTGGGAGACGTGGAAGATAGTGTGTGAATGCACCATGCGCGGACAGTAGTCTTACCTTAGTCACACCGGGATTTGAGAGTTGTGGTGCCAAGATTCACTACGGAATCGCTTGGGCTTCCGAGGCGACGAGCGAGAAAGCCAGCACGAGGTGCGCGGGGGACTTAAGGGAGGTGAGACGAATGGATAAAACACTCAGACGAAGCCAGTTGCTGGTGGGATTGCATCGGGGCACTTGCTTAGGGTTTCGAACAGCCGTGAGAAGGGCGAGGGACGACCACTGTGCAACGTGCCGCGTGACATCGAGGAACCATCGCTTTCTCAATAAAGTGACGGCGAAGTGCACTGAGATAGGTGCACATGCTGCATGAGGTGACTCGAAGATATGTCGTGCCACTGTCGAAAGCTCTCGACCGGCGCACCGCAGACACTCTATTGCGATGCGCGCAAAGGATTAGGGGAAGGCAGGTGCGTGCGGGCCATCGTTGGATTCGAACCATATTCCTTGTGCGAATGAGGTGCGTCGCCAGGCCGTTGACGGGTTCACCATTGACGTGATCGTTGTACCGGGAAACCGAACCGCGATGCTTTGTCTAGGGTTTCACGACTGAGGAAAGAGGCTGTCACATCGGGTTTAGGCGAAATCAATCCGTCACTATCGTATCATCGTATAACCGTTTCCCAGACTCGTGAGTCAAGGCTCTTGCTATAAGCTGAGTTGTTACATTGCTTTGATAGAGTCTTATGGAGGTCGCGTCATTACCGTTGGACATCTGCCTGTGGTGTGTCACAACTCGGGATCTGTTCCTTGCACGTTGAGTTTCACCTATTTGTTGGTAACACGGTGTTACATTGCAGATTCCACGCACAGAAGTGTTTAAAATTGTCTAAACAGAGTGCTCAGAAGTGTTCCGCCAACACTTAAATTGAATCGTGTTGCCCTTGACTAGACCCACTTGCGTTTCGTTTTTAGTCCAGTTCTCCAATTCGTGTGCTGGACAGGCCCTGAGCACTTCCCACCATTTCTTGGCTTTCTGTCAGAGCGAAAGCGATGAACGGATTCGTGCAGCAACTAATCGAATCGCGTTTTATGAACCGATGTTTGCTAAGTCCGCATAGTTTATAGGGTTTCATTTTATTAGATAAGATGGGAATCGATGTTGCTTCGGACCTCCGCAATGTCGCCACGGCCGACTTATCAACTGACCATGGACCTAGGTATTATCAGTTGCGTGCGATATGTAGGAGGAGAGGTTAGGAGGAGAGGAGCATGATGGCGAAAGCGATATTTGCGTACCATCATTTTCTCGTGCGCCTGCAACTCCATCACTGGCTCTCTCAGCACTCGCCTCTCTCGCCGCACTCGCCGCGAGTGGACGCACCGCTGCGCCAAGGAGCAGTCAGAATGCGCGTCATCGCCAATTCGCGCCTGATAGGCGTTTTGGGCTCTACTCCGCTGACGCGGCAGAGTGAATCCGAGCACACTAGCTTTCCGCGCGCCCATTTCCACCGCTGGCTTTTCGGGATTGTGCACTCATCGTGCCAGTAGGTGAACCCGCGAGGCCTCTCAGGGCCTCTCAGTCAGGAGGTGAGGACACAGTTGGACGGGACTTACTTTTGCCACAATGGCGGAGGGATTCTAATCGTTCTTTATCTCTTTCGTGCGCCCCCCAGTCCGCGTTCAGTATGCATGGAAGAATGAATGTGAGCGGAGCTACTTTCCCTGGTGCACTGCCGTTCCACCCTCCGACGATGACTGCCGTTCCTCCCTCCCCCCTCCTCGCTCAGCAGTACGACGTCCCTAACGAGTGGGGCTGTTAGTACCCTGCCTCCTTAGCCCCCGCCCCACTCCTCTCTACTTCCTCAACCCCCAACTCCTGCCGTGACGAGCCGTGAGGAGCCCAGCTTGTCGCGACACACACCCGCGCGGCATGGCAGAGCCACAGGCAGCAGCAGCAGTAGCAGCAGCAACATGGGTGGCGGTGAAGCTGGTCAGCACTGAGTGGGTGGGGTGGAGGCGGGCAGGAGGGAGGCGTGTGAGCAGAAGCCGTGGAGATGACATTGTGGCGGCGTGGGGTCAGCTGTGCGCTGCTCATGTTGGTCATGTGATGGGGTTGTCGGGTGCCCCAAATGGAGGTGACAGGCGGAGCCGGATGTGACGGCAATGTCGCCCTGCCCCACCCTAATGCCCGCAGATCCTGATCCACATGTGTTCCTGTATCGCTTCGTCCATCTATTGCTGGCTGCTGTGCCTGCCAGTGCCTGCCTTCCTTTGCGTCGTCGCCTATCTACGCCCGTTATCACGGCGTTTTTGGCTATAGATAGACAACACAGCGGAATAAACCTGAGCACTTATTCCCGTGCGTGCGTCACATTCCACTGCAGGCTCTTATCGCTGCATTTTTTGTGGGAGGATGCTTCATGCCATTCAGTGGAACGCGTGAGGTTTCGTAGCTGACGGCGGGAAGCCGCGAGAGGTAAGAGAAGCTGCGCAGGATGTGACAGCACCATCACCCTGCCCCACCAAAATGGTGTTGGAAACTGAATGGCTGCTGCTCCTGATCCCATCGTGCTCGTCGTACCTCACTTCTTCAATCCATTGCTGGCTGCTGTGTCTGCGTCCCTCACTTTTCATCATCGCACGCAACCTTGTGGCTCATCTGACTCTAGTTTGGTGACGTGGGAAAATAGAGATGAACGTTACTTGCTTCGCTGTCCTCCTCGCTCTGTAATAGAATGCCTCATTACATTAAAGCATCTCCTTCCCCTCCTTCTACTTTGCTCCTCACATCTCTCCCCTTCTCCTCTTGTTTCTTCCCCTGCTTCATATCCTGCTCCCCTCACAGTTCAAAATTTGGCACGGAGCAACAATATGATATGACCATCCCGCCCCACCCATGGCGCGTGTGGTCAAGGACCTCTCTCTCTCACACCCCAGTGAGGACCTCACTCATTCCAGTGAGTTGCACTTTTGAGCTCGTTTTGCCCCATAAAATCTTCTTCAAGGCTTTGGAGGCTCCTCAAAAGCGCCTTCCATCTTAATAGGCTAGAACAGTTCGTGTGGTCAATACCTTTTTCAGTGTGTTGCATTTTCAGGCTCCTATTGAGGTGCCTTAGTAGCCCTTGGAAAACCTCTTGGACTGTAGTGAGTGAGTCATGCATCCAGTCAGGCTCCAGCAAGGGCTGGTTTCCACTAGACCGCCCCAGAGTGAATATTTCAGTGAGTCAGTCTGGCGTCAGTGGCGTGGTACGTGGGGAAGGCGTCAGAGCAGCGCGACACAAACACCAGCGCCACCGGCAGCGGGGTGAAGGGTTCTGCGAGAGAGGGAGCGGAACGAGCAAGAGAGGAGGGGGGTGGGGCAGGGGGCGCAGCGGACGGAAGGGGGGAAGAGGTGAAAGGGGTGGAGGAGAATGGGCTGAGTTGCAAGTTCAAAGGGGCGACGGCGACGCGATGCACTTTGGCAAGGCGGCGCCGGTGGATTCGCTCTTCTCACGCCTCGCGCTGCACCTGCTGTGCTTCGGCACCAGCAACATCTAATGTGATCCCCGCCCTCCCTCCCGTCCTACCCCTCGTGGCATCCCTCACCCGCTGCACCCTGCATCATGCTCTCCTGTGCCCCGTCGCATCCTGCTTCCTGCCCATCGCTCCCCTCTTCCTGCCGTGGCGGGCTGACCGGAGTTCACGCGATAGGGCTGCGGTGGAACTGGGAGGAACAGGGCCTTTGCGTTGCCTCCTCCTTTCCTCCCTTACCCCTGGCCCTCTGCCCCCTTGCACTCTCACCTCTGCCCCTCCCGCAGCCGTGGCGGCACCGTGGCGTAATTTCACAAGGGAGCTTAGGTGCAGCTGATATCAGGCGCGGCCCATCCCTGCCAGCCACCCTCTACCCTTCGCTTCCCGCCTTGCCCTTTCCTTATGCCATCTCGCTCTTGCCGGGTGCTCCCCTCCCCCAGCTATGGCAGTGCTGTTACCAGAGTTCACACAGGACCTGCGGTTGAACTGGGTGCATGACCCCATGCCTTGCCCCCTCTCTTTGTTTTTTTCTCTCACTCCCGCCTCTTTCCGCTCTCCAACTGCCCATCCACTAGCCGTGGCGGCGCTGTGGTTGGAGTACAACCTTGAGCTGCGGTTGAGCTGGGAACAGGTGCTGCAGGTCGCATGATGGTCATGCGGACCATTTCGGCTTGCTGGTGCAAGCACATGGCATCACCATGTCGAGTCTGAAGGTGTATCTAGTCTGAGTATGTATATTCCGCTCGACCTACAGGGAAGAGTGATGCATCTAGACGAGACAGTAGAGTGCGTTGAGCTGGCATTATGATATAATCAAGATCCTCATCTTGCAATCTTCTGCAAGGTTGTGCATGTGCGAAAGGTTTCAAGAATCCTGAGTCGGTCAGAATCTTAGTGTGTCCATCTCAACAGTCCTCTTTGTGTATCCCCCGGTCTCATCCAGCCCCACATCGCCCACCACCCACCCAGTCAGTAGTGCTGTGCCTTACAGCACATCAGCTCGCTTCTCCTCCATCCGTCCCCTCCTCACCTCCCTCCTAACGCCCCTGTTTTCCTCCCAACCCCCTTTCCCTCCCTCGTCTTCCATTGACTCCCACTCTCCCAACCAACTCCCTTCCATCACTCTTCCGTTGGCCCAAACGGCAGCCCACGTGGCAACCTCGGCGCTTCTCCCAACTTGCACACTCCTCCAAGGCCCGAGCAGCTGAAATTGTAATCATGGGGCCAGCAAGGTGGTGAGGGGGAGAGAGGTGATGTGGCAGAAAAATCTGATTACGATCGTAATCAGTAACTACGATCGTAATCAGTAACTATGATCGTAATCGTAATCTGATTACGATCGTAATCGAAATCTGATTACGATCGTAATCAGTAACTACGATCGTAATCAGTAACTACGATCGTAATCAGTAACTACGATCGTAATCAGTAACTACGATCGTAGTCGTAATTGTAATCGTAATCTGATTACGATCGTAATCGTAATTACAGATAGTACTGTATCGTATACTGTAAATCTAATTACAGATACTGTATTTTACGGTCAAAACTTGAAAAAAAACGTCGTTTTTTTGCACCTTGCTACTACCACCCCTGCACCCCTGCCCCTGCCCCCCCACCCTCCCCCCCCCTCCCCTCCCCTCTCTCACGTATGTACCTCTCCTCGTGTCCTGCCTCCCACTTTCCTTGGCTTTCGTTTTGCATCATTTTTTTTTTTTTCGGCTCCCGGCCTGTTATCTCCCTTATCCCCCTACACCATACCTTCTTTATTTCTTAATACTCGTCAACCATACTAAACTTTCCGCACCACCCCCTTCATCGCGTTCTGCCATGCCCTTCATCCCATCATACCATGCCTCCCATCTGCTCTGCCACCATCCTAACGAAGCAGTAGCACCATGTCTATCGCACCCTCAGGAAAAAATGTCTCCCTCCTTCTCGTTATACCACAACCGCTTAAAGCAGCAGTATACATTTGAAAGTACTGTTGATTTTGGAACAGTACCCACCAAAAGCAAACCCCAACGAAAACGAACAGGCTTGGCGAGAAGGTCGGCGAAAATTTGGAAGGCTGTTAGTTGCGAACACGAGTAACTCTCCCGTCACCCAACACCTGGAGTGACACTTAGACACTAGGAAATGCCTTTCCACAGGCAATATATAAGGTGACTAAGGGGGCCGAGGAGTAGCGGTACCACTAAGAAACTCGCTGTTGGTAAGGGGACACGTGTCACAAGCATTTCTACAACACCCTACTCTCTGATGACTAGACTCGTTCTAAGGCCTCGCACGCGATGTAGGAATAGCCTTCGAAGAGGCGCGCCGCATTCCATGCGCTCTTCTCGCTGGCGATATTCTCGCGAAACCTGCAGCTCGATCGCCGAACCCGCAGCTCACGACACCCTCTTAGCGCGTCACCCGCGACTCGCCTAATGCCACTCTGCGCGCCCCACCGCTTAGTGCCTAACCGCTAAGCGCCTCACAGCGAAAAGCGCACGATCGCTAAGCGAGCGCCTCACCGCATAGCGCCTCACCGCTCACGCACTGCGATTCCTCTCAAGTTTTAGTGCAGGCGAGTGCTTCTCGAACCCATAGCTCGCCTCTCTTAGCACGCTCACCCTCTGCTGGCCTCACCTGCTGCTCGCGTCTCTGGGCGAATGTCGAATTCGCCCAAAATGCTGCGCTCCGCGAGGCGTTCGCCTCACGCGCTGCTTGCTACCGTTGAATGGGCGCATCGCCATGAATGCGGGGAGCCCGTCGTCCAACCTCCTTCCCGGACCTCTCATTTCCCCTCCCTGTTCCCTCATTTCCCCCCCTCCCTCTCTCTTTTCCCCCACTACTCCTACCCCTTGTTTCCCCCTCTGCTTACCCTCGTTCCCCCCTCTTTTTTCCCTTATTTCCCCCTCTCCTCTCCCTCGTTCCCCCCTCTCCATCCCATCATTTCCCCCTCTGCTTCCCCTCGTTCCCCCCCTCCATCCCCTGATTTCCCCCTCCTTTCCCCCACTGCTTCCCCTCCTTTCCCCCACTTCTTCGCCTCCTTTCCCCCGCTACTTCCCCTACTTTCCCCCGCTGCTTCCCCTCCTTTACCCCACTGCTTCGCCTCCTTACCCCCACTGCATCCCCTCCTTTCCCCTGCTGCTTCCCTCCTTTCCCCCGCTGCTTCCCTCCTTTCCTCCGCTGCTTCCCCCCCTTTCACCCACTGCTTCCCCTACTTTCCCCCACTGCATCCCTCCTTTCCCCCACTGCTTCCCCTCCTTTCCCCCACTGCATCCCTCCTTTCCCCCCCGTGCTTCCCCTCCTTCCCCCCGTTTCCCTCACTGCCTCCGCTCCCGCTGCCCTTCTCTCACCTGTCCATCCCTTGCCTCCCCTTCGCATCCGTCTAAAGCTGTGAGCGAAATCAGACACAACTTTCCCTCACATCCCCTCTCCCTCCCCCCGTTTGTTACCCATCCCTCTCCTCCACCCATCCATCTCCCTCTCCTTCCCCTCGTTCCCCCCTCTCCTTCCCCTCGTTCCCCCTCGCCTTCCCCTCGTTCCCCCCTCTCCTTCCCCTCGTTCCCCCCTCTCCTTCCCCTCGTTCCCCCTCTCCTTCCCCTCGTTCCCTCCTCTCCTTCCCCTCGTTCCCCCCTCTCCTTCTCCTCGTTTCCCCCTCTCCTTCCCCTCGTCCCCCCCGCTCCTTCACCTCATTTCCCTCTCTGCTTCCCCTCGTTCCCCCCCCTCATCCTTGTTCACCCCACAACTTCCCCTCATTTCCTCTCATCACCTCCCCTGCTCCCTCTCACTACCTCCCCAGCTTCCAATCTTTTCTCCCTCTGCTTCCCCTCGTTTCTCCCTCTCTTTCCCTTCATTTCCGTCCCTGCTTCTCCTTTGCCTGCTTTCTCTTCGATTGCGTCTCGCCCACAGTTCCCCCCTTACCCTCCTTCCTCTGTTGTTTTCTATGCTACCGTATCACCCTCCTTTCTCTGAGTTTTTCACCCCTTCTTACGCTTTGTCTCCCCACCTGCTTGCCCTTGTTCGTCTCCACCCCCTTACCCTCCCCCCAACCCGCTCTTCCTGCACGCTTGTACTCTGTCCTCCGGATTTCCAGATCATCTTTACTCGATATCTGCTCTGTGCAGCATGGCGCACAGTGAAGTTGTAATCTCAGTCTACAATGTGTGTGCCTCAATGTATCTAGCCATAACATGGTATTACAACTCGTGCCCAATTCTGAATAATGGTAGTGGAATCCAATGGTTGTCATGTGACCTCTGTTCTTTCAAATGGGCACAGCACAGCATTGATGTAGAGAAGAGAAGCTTGAGAGGAGTATGTACACATGATAAAATCATCGCGAAACATTGTACAAGACAGCACCTTCCACTACTCTTTGTGTCGCCTTCATTCCCCCCCAAACTCTTGGACCTGCTGCTCCTCCCTTCATGTCGCCAAAATTGCCCAGGCCTGGCTTTGCCCTGTGTGTAGCAGGATTGCATGCAAAACCTGCAGCTTTGCGTATGCATACTGGCTGTATGACACGTGGTGTCGCAACCGTAAATAGTGGGGCCCCGAACCTATGGGAGGGAAGGCAGGGATGTGAGGAGGGAAGGCAGGGATGTGAGGAGGGAAGGCAGGGATGTGAGGAGGGAAGGCAGGGATGTGAGGAGGGAAGGCAGGGATGTGAGGAGGGAAGGCAGGGATGTGAGGAGGGAAGGCAGGGATGTGAGGAGGGAAGGCAGGGATGTGAGGAGGGAAGGCAGGGATGTGAGGAGGGAAGGCAGGGATGTGAGGAGGGAAGGCAGGGATGTGAGGAGGGAAGGCAGGGATGTGAGGAGGGAAGGCAGGGATGTGAGGAGGGAAGGCAGGGATGTGAGGAGGGAAGGCAGGGATGTGAGGAGGGAAGGCAGGGATGTGAGGAGGGAAGGCAGGGATGTGAGGAGGGAAGGCAGGGATGTGAGGAGGGAAGGCAGGGATGTGAGGAGGGAAGGCAGGGATGTGAGGAGGGAAGGCAGGGATGTGAGGAGGGAAGGCAGGGATGTGAGGAGGGAAGGCAGGGATGTGAGGAGGGAAGGCAGGGATGTGAGGAGGGAAGGCAGGGATGTGAGGAGGGAAGGCAGGGATGTGAGGAGGGAAGGCAGGGATGTGAGGAGGGAAGGCAGGGATGTGAGGAGGGAAGGCAGGGATGTGAGGAGGGAAGGCAGGGATGTGAGGAGGGAAGGCAGGGATACTTGCTCTCATTTCCCCCCCCTACATGCCTCCCTCCTCTCATTTCCCCCCCCTACATGCCTCCCTCCTCTCATTTCCCCCCCTTGCTCCCTCGATGTTTCCCCCACTGCTCCTCTACACTTCCCCCCACTTCTCCCTCTCATTTCCCCCCTTTATCCATCTCATTCCCCCCCCGTCTCTCCCTCATTGGGCCCACTTCTTCCTCTCATCTCCTCCCTTGCTCCATTTCCAACTCTGCTCCCCCTGACTTCATCTTCTCCTCTCGTTTTACCCTTCTCCCCCTCCCCCCCCCCCCTTTCCATCTTCTCCTTTCCCCCAACCCTGTCCGTGGGGTGAGTGAGCTGGCGGGGAAGTGAGAGGAATAAGAGGGGACGGGGGAAGTGCGGATGGCAAGGAGGATTTGAGGGGGAAAAGAGGAGAAGAGAGGGTAAGAGAAGCAGGGGGGAAAACTGAGAGCAGGGGGGAAAACTGAGAGCAGGGGGAAAACTGAGAGCAGGGGGGAAAACTGAGAGCAGGGGGGAAAAACAGGAGCAGAGGAAGAAAGGAGGAGCAGTGGGTGGAAAGAGGTGCAGTAAGGGAAAGGATGAGCAGAGGGGGGAAAGATAAGCAGAGGGGGAAAGAGGAGCAGAGGGGGAAAGAGGAGCAGAGGGGGAAAGAGGAGCAGAGGGGGAAAGAGGAGCAGAGGGGGAAAGAGGAGCAGTGAGGGAAAAGAGGAGAAGAGGGGGAGAAGAGAAGCAAAGGGGGAAAAAGAGCGGAGGTGGGGAAGTTGAGAAGATGGGGAAAGAGGAGCAGAGGGGGAAAATAGGGGAAGCAGGCGGGGAAATGGTGGGAGGCAGGGGGGGAGATGAAGGAGGAAGCGAAGGAGTGGCGGGAGGACGAGAAGGCACGGCGGGAGGGGGAGGAGGCATGGTGGGAGGATGAGAAGGCATGGTGGGAGAAGTCATGGTGGGAGGAGGAGAGGGGGTGGCGGGAGGAGGAGAAGGCATGGCGGGAGGAGGAGTGGGGGTGGCGGGAAGAGGAGAAGGGGAGAAATGAGGGCAAGCAGGGGGAGAAATGCGATCGTGCAAGGGGGAAAACAAAGCGTACAAGGGAGAAAATGAGGGCGTGCAAGGTGGGAAAACGAGGGCGTACAGGTGGGGAAGTGAGGGCGTTCAAGGGGGGTGCAGCGGGGATGCGGAAGCACAGCCGTTGCAAGAGAGTGAGAGGGGGCCGAGGGCCTTATCCGAATGCAGCTCGCGAAAGGAGGCCGCCGAGACGCGGAGAGGCAGCAACGGGAGGCAGGGTGAAGCCGACGACGCTGGCTAGGCTCGCATGCGCGGGAAAGCGAGAGGAGGCCGCGCGTGGAGGCGAGAGGAGGCCGCGCGGGGAGGCGAGAGTCGCACGCGCGGGGAGGCGAGAGGAGAGCGCGGGGAGGCGAGAGTCGCACGCGCGGGGAGGCGAGAGGAGAGCGCGGGGAGGAGAGAGGAGAGCGCGGGGAGGCGAGAGGAGAGCGCGGGGAGGCGAGAGTCGCGCGCGTGGGAAGGCATTAGGAGAGCGCGGGGAGGCAAGAGGAGGAGGCGCGGGGAGGTGAGAGGAGGAGGCGCGGGGAGGCGAGAGGAGCAGGCGCGGGGAGGCGAGAGGAGAATGCGCGGGGAGGCGAGAGGAGAACGCGCGGCAAGGCGAGAGGAGGCCGCGCGGCAAGGCGAGAGGAGGCCGCGCGTGGAGGCGAGAGGAGGCCACGCGTGGAGGCGAGAGGAGGCCGCGCGTGGAGGCGAGAGGAGGCCGCGCGTGGAGGCGAGAGGAGGCAGCGCGGGGAAAGCGAGAGTCGAGCGCGCGGGGAGGCGTGAGGAGGCCGCGCGGGGAAAGCGAGAGGAGAGCGCGCGGGGAGGCGAACGCGAGAGGGAGGGCACGCGAGCGGCGAGCGGGAAGCAGCGGCTAACCTCGCGCGGCGAACGGCGGACGGCGAGCTAGGAGTGGAGGACGGGATGGGATGGCAGATGCTAGCGCGTCGAGGCTAAACGGGACTCTGTGGGGAGGGGAGGCGCTGTCGCTAATGGCCTCGCGGTGAGGCAGCGAGAGGAGGTGTGGGGCGGCCTTGTCTAAGTTGGCGTGGCCTCTGCGAGTGCGTACGAATGGGCAATTTGTCCGCGCATGCGCGCAAACAGCGTTACGCGGTTCAATAACAGATTCTGTCCCTAAATTTAGCTGTTTGGTTAGTACGTTGCCTAGCCTACGGGGAATAACCTACTGAAGTAGGAGCGCGTGGGCTTCCTCTCAATACCGCAGTTTCAGTTTCCTTTTGCAATTCCTAAGGTTTTGAACTGTGAGTGCGGGGAGCTGGACGTGGGGCGTTTGGGGACTCACTTCGCCTGTCAACTGGGGGGTTGGGGTTGTAATCGCGTAACCAGTTTTTCAAGTTCCTAAGGTTTTTGAAACCCCTGCTTGCAAAAGTATACTGTTGCTTTAATGCGCAATCAACCAATTTCCCACTCCACGCCTCAACCCCCCCTCCTTGGCTACATCTCCCCATTATTTCTTCACTATCCCCTCCCCTTTCAACCTCAACCCCCCTCATACACTTCTCCCCCTCCTTGAAGGATGTTGATGGTGGCAGCAGAGAGGTGCCGTACGCACTCCAATTATTTTATTGATGAGCTTTGCTTTCACGGTTCACTCCTTGACCCCACCTTCTCTTCCCCTGCCCCATTTCCCCCTATCTCCCCTCCGCTGCTTCTAGCAGTTGCCCTGCCTTAATGGCACGGCGTGTGGGTGGAGGTGAGGCTCGTGGTAAGGGCAGATCCAAAATGCTCGGAGAGGGATTAGTAGCACCCGAGTTTGAGAGGTTTAATGGGAAAGGATAGTGTTGGAACAGCGGTGCCAGCACACCTCATCCCATGCCCTATTTTCAAAACGCATCCCACTGTTTTTCGCTTCCCTACCAGCCACAATCCTGGCCTTCACTCATGCCAGCTCTTCACTCATGCCAAAGTTTTCTTCTCTGGCGTCTGGTTTCTCACGCTGCCTTGTGCAGGAACCATTATGAATAAGGTAGCCATGCTGAAGCGGATTGGTGCGTTGTGGTGGGCTGTGGTGACACACAATGATACGGTATGCGAGTACTGCATTGTAGTGCAGCTATACGTTGCATGCATCGTCGCAGGGCACACTGAGATGGTTTCAGGCGGGATGCATCTGGATGTCGTTTCTTTAAGCTCCAGGATAAGTGATACATAGCTTGGTATACAGACACAATGTATTTCATCTACTCTCTTGAGATGTTACCAAGAAGGATACCGTGAGTTGCTGCTATCTGTATTGTAAATTGATGCTGAAACATGATCAAAAGGACATAATAACTTACTAAGGTGTTCATCTGCTGTACAGTATTTTCCATCCATACAACACACCAGCAGCAGTATCTATTTTCCGAAAAACCTCTTCTCTACAAGAGGAGGACCTGTACAACCTACACCCAATGCCAGACAAGCATGGCTCACACACAGAGTCCAACTTCTTCCTGCTTCACCCTCCATGGTCCACCTCACACCGGTATATCACCCACCCACACCCTCAGCATGACATCAGCTAGCGCTGTACAGCAAGCATGGCTCATGCAGTCTCTTTTTATCCACTTGGTCGTCTGCCCAAACAGCACTGTAACTGCTTCTGTCAACTGCAAGGCATAGAGTCCGACCAGTCTCCCAACTCTGCAACATGCAAGGTGAGCCGTGCACAACCACCATTCCCCTACTCCGCCGCACGCATGCATCTGTCAGAATTATATATAACTGCATGTAGTTCTAGCTGTAGTGTAGTCATACATTTGTTCTTGCTTGGTGGTGCACCCTTCCTGAACTATAACTTGTACTTGCTTCTCATATTACATCATTCCTATTCTCGACTTTCTCTCTTGGCACAAACTTCCTCTCCCCCCGTGGCCTAGGCTTCTAAGCCTAGGCCCTAAACCTACGGTAACTACAACTTATGCTAGTATCTCAACATGGCATTAGAGCCTGTTACGTCCTGGCCTGTGGGCCTGCCTCAAGCTTCCGCTGCTGTTTTTCCGGTCACGCGCCGCGAGCGCGTGGCGAATTTCCTTCTGTCCCGCGCCCGGGTGGCGCGTGACGTTTTTTCTGCTCGTCGCGGACCCGCCCCTGGCGCCCGCGACGGTGCCCTGAGCCGCCGCGGACCCGCCCCTGGCGCCCGCGACGGTGCCCTGAGCCGCCGCGGACCCGCCCCTGGCGCCCGCGACGGTGCCCTGAGCCGCCGCGGACCCGCCCCTGGCGCCCGCGACGGTGCCCTGAGCCGCCGCGGACCCGCCCCTGGCGCCCGCGACGGTGCCCTGAGCCGCCGCGGACCCGCCCCTGGCGCCCGCGACGGTGCCCTGAGCCGCCGCGGACCCGCCCCTGGCGCCCGCGACGGTGCCCTGAGCCGCCGCGGACCCGGCCCTTGGCGCCCGCGACGGTGCCCTGAGCCGCCGCGGACCCGCCCCTGGCGCCCGCGACGGTGCCCCTGCCTCACCCGCGCCTGCACTCGGTGCAGCCGCCCATGTGCTTCCTTTCCCCTCCTCCTCCTTTCGTTCCCACTGCTGCAGCTGCCGCTGGGGGGGAGGGTGTGAGGGTGTGGGGGAGCCGGGGGAGTGGCACTGGGGTGGCGGGTGTGAGACCAACCAGCAGCCGTCCCTCCACCTCTCCTCTCTTTCCCCCTCTGCTGCTCCTGCAGCAGTGTGGGGGGGAGGGGGAGGGGGAGGGTGAGGGGATGGAAGGGGTGACCAGCCAGCGCCAGCCCGCCTCCTCTCTCTCCCTGCCGCCCTTCCTGTGGTCCGGGGGGAGGAGAGTAAGGGGGTGGCAGAAGTGCCTTGCTGTCGCCTGCCCCTTTGCTGCCGAACCTTTTCTGCTGCCTTGCCTGCTGTTGCTGTTTTCTCGGTCTGTGGTGTACCCCTGCAGGTTGTGTCTGTCAACGGGAGTTGGGTGTTGGCCCCGTCCTCGCTTGGGCGGAGCCGACTTCGTGGTCGGGTGTAGGGTGCAGCCGAC